TTTTTTAGCCTTCGGCTCAACACATTTTTGTCTTAACTCAGGAAGGAGGGCTCCAGAGCAAACTACTTTATGCAGTAGCAAATCGCTCACAACTTTAATGCCGGTAGCTCACAAAGTAGAATTTTTGCTCACAAGACTCCACAGCTTAGAGGGAGCATTGCTCGTAGCATACTCATCCAATAGGTGAAATGCTACCACCGCCAGAGATCCTATCCACAGCATTTGTCCAACCATGCACTTTGGCTGCAAGATTATCACAGTATGGAGAGGAGGGCCATGTGCTTTCTGGAGCTACACTGTCTAGACACCAGGAAGTACACAATTTTCATCTGACCATGTAGCAAAAGTGCACAATCAGGTGAATGCTAGGTGGATCTCTACACTGAATACACCTGACTTCTCCATCCAGTGTTAAGGAAAGGCAGCCCCCACCACGGGGGGGGGGGGAGGGATGACCTGTTTTAGCTCTAAAGAGTCTATTCTATTTTTTTATTATTATTATTTTATTAGATTTATATCCCGCCCTCCCCACATGGTAGACTCAGGTTGCGTTCCAAAAATACAGATCTGCAAATAATCCAGATTTACAATTTAAAACATATACATCAATATTACAACCATTAAACTCACTAAAATCACTAAAACACTAAACATGCATTAAGCCTCAACAGATGATGTTAGTTCCAGTCGGCTTCTAGGATCTGCGGTAACTGGGCCGGTCAAAGTGGATGCCTGCTGCCTCAACTAAAAGTCTGGCGAAAGAGCTCTGTCTTACCGGCCCTGTGGAACTGCAACAGGTCCCACAAGGCCCTTATCTCATAAAGTAGTTCATTCCACCAGGTAGGGGGCCTCAACTAGGGCCAGGGCTTTTCTGGCCCTAGTTGAGGCAAGCTGGACATCCCTAGGGCCAGGGACTACCAGCAGATGCTGGTTTGTAGAATACAAGTGTTCTACGGGGCTCATATGGAGAAAGATATGCAGGCCCCTGGCCATATAGGGCTTTAAAGGTGAGCACCAGCACCTTGAAATGGATCCAGTATTACATAGGCAGCCAGTGCAGGTCACGCAGTACCGGGTGGATGTATGCTCACATGGGCAACGGCATCAACACCCGCACTGCTGCCTTCTGCACTAGCTGCATCTTCCAGAGCAGAGTCAAGTGCAGCCCCATGCAGAGAGAATCTATCCTGGAAGTGACCATTGCATGGGTCACTGCAGCCAGGTCACAGGGGGTGAGGTATGGGGCCAACTGCCTGATCTGCCTCAGATGAAAAAAGGCAGACCTGGCAGTGACGGTGACCTGGATGGCATTTTCTGTTATGTTATCTTACTCTTGGAAAGACATCTGCAAGCATCAGCATACTGTTGCTCCTGCCAGAGATATCGTATCTAATATTACCTGTTTTTGATTCAGGTGGGTAGCCATGTTGGTCTGAAGCAGCAGAACAAAGTTTGAATCCAGTAGCACCTTTAAGACCAACAGTTTTAACTACTGATTGCTTTATCTAAGACCATGTAATAAGAGCCCTGCCGGAACAGACCAGGGGTCCATCTAGCCCAGCATCCTGGCTCACACAGTGGCCAGCCGGTTCCTCTGAAGGGCCAACAACAGGGCACAGAGGCTGAGACCTTGCTCTGATGTTGCCTCCTGACTCTGGGATTCAGAGGTTCACTGTCTTTGAATGTGGAGGTTTGTCTCAGTCACCATGGCAAGTACTCTCCCCAGTGCTATTCAACATCTATATGCACCCCCTTGCCCCAATTGCCCGGAGGCATGGGCTAGGGTGCCACCAGTATGCGAATGACACCCAGCTCTACACCGGAAGATCTGGACCAGGTGTTACAAGCTGTGGCTGGTCGGCTTATACTGAGTTGATTGAAATTTAATCTGACGAAGATGGAGGTCCTGTGCCTGAGCCGGGGCAGTCCAGGGGTAGGGATCCCATTCCTGACCTTCGATGGGGCACAGCTGGTGCCAGCGCCAGAGGTTAGGAGTTTGGGAGTGCTCCTGGATGCCGCCTTAACAATGAAGGCCCAGGTAGCAGCCACTGCCAAGTCAGCCTTTTATCATCCTCGGCTGATCAGGCAGTTGGTTCCCTTCCTCGAATGCAACAACTTGGCAACAGTGATCCACGCGATGGTCACCTCGAGACTGGACTACTATAATGCTCTCTACATGGGGCTGCCCTTGTCTCAAATCCAGAAGCTGCAGCTAGTGCAAAATGCTGTGGTCAGGCTGTTGACGTGTTTCCCTGGGTGGGAGCACATCCAGCCTGTGCTGAAAGCATTGCACTCGCTGCCGATAGCATACTGGATTCATTTCAAGGTGCTGACCTTTAAAGCTAACCTTTAAAGCCCTTTGTGGTCAGGGTCCGACATACCTGCGGGACCGCCTTTCCCCACAAGTTCCCCAGAGAGCACTAAGTTCAGACTCCCAAAACTGATTGGCCCTCCCGGGCTCCAAGGACGCCAGGCTAGCTATAAACAGGTCCAGGGCCTTTTCATTGGCAGCTCCGTAGTGGTAGAATGAGCTCCCAGAAGAGATCAGAGTCCTGCAGGACCTTTTACAGTTCTGCAGGGCCTGCAAGACAGAGCTCTTCCACCAGGCTTTTGACTTAGGAGCCACATCAAACACCAAGGAGTGTCCCTGTGCCCTGGCCTTACCACTTACAGCTTGTGTCCGCCACACAAATAAGTCAAACAAACCGACCTGATAAGGACTGTATCGCCATCTAACTAATACTGCTAACTTGAAATCTTTGCTCTCACACTTTACTAGACCATGTTCCAGCACTTTAGGATTATTTTAAATGAAGTGTTTTGTTATTTTATTTTGATGTTATTTGTAACTGTTTTAAGTGTATTTATATTAATTTTATGTAAGATAAATAAATAAATAAATAAATAAATAAATAAATAAAAAGTGGCGATTGATAGATTTATCCTCCATGAAATCTATCTAATACCCCTTTAAAGCTCTCTATGCCTGTGACCATCATCACTACATCCTCTGGAAGCCAATTCCACGTTTTAATCACTTGCTGTATAAAGAAGTATTTCCTTTTGTCCGTCCTAAATCTACTGCTGATCAGCTTCATTGGATGCCCTCGAGTTCTAGCATATTGGGAGGAAACGTTGTCTTTGTCAACTTTCTCTACCCCCCCCATGCATAATGTTATAAACCTCTGTCATGTCCCCCTTAATCGTCTCTTTTCTAAACTGAAAAGTCCCAGGCTTTTCAGCCTTTTTCCAGCTCTGTGATGTCCTTTCTGAGATATGATGACCAAAATATCTGTGCCGGTGCAATGCTTGAAAGACTGTACAAGTGGCAAGGGAAAGATTTAAACCAGATGGATACAGGATCAGGTCTATAAAGGGAGATTAAGAACATAAGAACATAAGAGACGCCAATGTTGGATCAGGCCAAAGGCCCATCCAGTCCAACACTCTGTGTCACACAGTGGCCAGAAATACCAGTGCCATCAGGAGGTCCACCAGTGGGGCCAGGACATTAGAAGCCCTCCCACCGTTGACCCCCCCCAAGCACCAAGAAGACAGAGCATCACTTGCCCCAGAGCCCCTATCTATACCTTGTGGCTAATAGCCACTGATGGACCTCTGCTTGAAGGGAGCTTGCAGCCCTTCAAGATGCTCCCAGAAACGTGACAACTGTCACTCACAGGGGCAGGAAAAATTCTGGCTCAACAGCCAGGCCTCAGGTTCCAATTTGCACGAAAGCACATGGTACCTGGAAACTCAAAGACTCTTCTCGGCTTTGGGAGGCTTGCTACGGAAGGACTGCATTACATCACCTCTTGAAAGTGAACTCTTTTTTAAAAGGTTTGGTTTTAAAACCGGCAGGAACATTCTTTACCAAAAAAAAAAAAAAAAAGACGTATCAGCCTCTCATGTAATCACCTTGGCCCCAAATTATGTTTAGTCTGTTGTAACTCAAATAAATGTGTCTGCAACGGCAGCAACTGAACATCTTGAGCGCTGAAGTTTCCTGGCTGCATTTTTCTACACATGAGAAAACGATGATGTGTTTTTCTCTCTCTCTTTGGGATTAATCACAAATTTGGGGACATGATGTAAAAAAGAAAAAAAAAACCTAACTAGACATCAGTCAGCTGTACATGAAGGGGGAGGGATAAAATTAGAAAAACAAGATCATTCCCTAAAAAGACAGAAGAATGGGAAGCAAAGTCTCATATCCACCCCAACACGTTATCCCTGAGTGAGGAAGAAAGCAACATTTTCCATTCTCTTTATCTGGCCACCAATTCAGGAGATCAGAGATATGAAGTGGCCTCTTATCGTCCATACGAGAGTGTCTGAAAACTCAGACATGACAAGAGCCGAGGGAACTGGAACCAAGTCGCTCTTCTGTGCCCTTAAGTCTTGGCCCTGTTTCAGGTTAATCGCATGCTTTAAAGCTTTCCTGAGATGAGTTATTGTGAAAGCTAAAAATGCCCTTGGGAAAACATTTTCTACTTTTTCTTGCTCTTTGGAAACAGGTTTTAAGCTTCCCCGTAAAGAAAGATACTGCACAGGTCTGGGCAAACTGTTCCAGACACCAAAAGAAAAATCCAATGACTGTTTACACTGGTGTGGCCTTAATTGATTCTATAGGACTACACCAGTGTAAGTCACCTCTAAGTCTTCCCTTGAGTAGCAGAAATTACACTTCAGTCATGGTTCATGAAAGCCTTTCTGCTATAATCTGCATGTGGGCTGAAATGTATAGAAAGCCATGCGGGGTGGTTGACAGATGAGGCATAATCCTTTATTTCTTCTGAAGAAGCCAAATGCAGATGGAAGGACCACAGCCATCGAAGAGGGCACAATCACACACAAAGTCCTGGAGGCACGGAAATTTCCAAATGCAAAATTAAAAAAGCACGGGAATAAGAACGGGAACTTGGAAAATCAGCTTGCGATGAATAAGAACTGTGAAGTTCAAGACACATCAATATGTTTAGACGTAACAGGAGTCTTACCTGTAAGGGTCTGTAGGGTCTTTGGCATCGCAGACATCAGCGTGCCCATGGCAGACGCACCGTCCTCCAATGCTGATATCTTTGATGCTGTAGTAATACTAGAAGAACACAGAATGGTCCGTTTTTACCACTCGGCAGAAAATCGCAGGACCCCACCCCCACACCAAGGAACATAATCATGCCACGAGTAGCCATCTCAATCAAGAGAAATAGCTTAGAATTTATGTTCCACAGGTCACAGCGATATAGCTTGCCCTCAACAAAATGATTCTTTAAGGGACAGCCCAATCATGCAAAAACCTTCCTAAAGGTATAACAAGGTTGGACCGACAGCTCTGCCCCATCCAGTAACTGCACACATTGGCTGCTATACGGGATGTAGGAGTAAAACCAGTATGCAACGACATGGCAAAAACGGGCTCTCGCAAGGAAACCCTGAAACGGCATGACAACAGCCAAACGTGCTAAGTAGTTCAAAGGGGAAGAACAAGCTAAGGGTGGGTGTGAAATTATAAAGGTTGCATAGAGACTTCAGGGAATCAGCTATCAAAAAAGTCTGTGTGACCACTTGCTTCCTTTTTTTTTTTTTTTTGCTAATGCTGCCCAAATGTCCTATGTCAGTGGTGGCGAACCTACGGCACGGGTGCCAGAGGTGGCACTCAGAGCCCTCTCTGCGGGCACGCGTGCCATCGCCCCAGCCAGGCCCAGACCATCCTTAAAGTGTCGAATTCTCTGCCAAATAATTTTAAGTCAATGAAAGCATTTGGGATTGCTTTCCTTACTTTGTTTGGATCATCTTAAGTTAATGTATGAGTTGCTTTTTCTAAAGTAAAACCTCAGTATTCAGGTTAAATTGCCGTGTTGGCACTTTGCGATAAATAAGTGGGTTTTGGGTCGCAGTTTGGGCACTCGGTCTCCAAAAGGTTCGCCATCACTGCCCTATGTCATCCCAACTGTGCACTGTCCAGGAAAAACAGATGAATAATTAAGGAAAGTAATCCCATGCACCCTGGATTCCCAAGAGAAGAGCCGTCATCTCATCCTAAAGTGCTTGTTGTAAGTGGGCCTCCCTCTCCACGAGCAGGGCTCTGACTACTGGCACCGCAATGGTGCGGTACTTGCTACTCTGTGGTCCTTTCTAATGCCAGTAAGGTAATGGTGGAAACCTGAACTCAATACAGAAGAGGATCTCTGCTCAACTTTTGACCATACTAGGCAATGAGACAAAACTAGCATGGGTAGCAGTTGAATTAATGGCCCCTCACTTCTAACATTATCTTAACAGTATTTAAGGGGGAGAGAGAGCAACAGCTTGTGTACCCTGACCTGGATGGCCCAGGCTAGCCTGATCTCGTCCGATCTCAGAAGCTAAGCAGGGCCGGCCCTGGTTAGTAATGGGATGGGAGACCTCCAAGTAATACCGGGGTTGCTATGCAGACATAGGCAGTGGCAAACCACCTCTGAACATCTCTTGCCTTGAAAATCCTATGGGGTAAGTCAGCTATGACTTGATAGTACTTTATACACACACACACTGGGGTAACATCGAAAATGTTATCTGAAAAGACAAGGCTCCCATAATAAACATATGCCTCAAATTCTTTTTGTGTTAAAGTGTTTTGATTTGCTATGTTCACTATAGTGGAAGAAACAGAGGCCCACTTCCCCGACACCCTGTGATACCGCTAGAGATGTCTGCTGCACACTTGCATTGCTCCTGAAACAAAATGAGTTAAAAAAATAAAAATAAATACTTATTTAACCAACTTTCATCATCCTACACAGTGAAAGTAATTTTTCCTGGAGTTTATATGCCTCAAGAAAAAGCTTGAAAGGTTCCAAATCCTCTGACTATTCCGTTGCCGCCATAGCAGCTACTGTTTCACCTAGATAAGGTCCCTAGATAACTGAAATCAACACCTAGATAATTGAAATCAACATGACAGCAACCATGTTAATTAAAAGAAATAACCGTTTGTTCATTTAAATAACACTTTGGGGCATTCTTCTCTAAGTCTGGCAAGCTACAGTGAATACTCCCAGCCCCTCGACTGCAGTTTTACAAGCTCCGGTAACACCTGCTAGTGATTTGAGTGCTAATGAATAGCAGGCTGGGATATTCCACACTGAAAACCAAGTTGTCTTGGCCAAGAAGCTGTATGCAATAGCCAGCAGGTGCTTCTAGGGTTCCCCTCCAACACACACACTTTTGGTAGTTGATTTTGAGAGGCATTTGTTTTCTTCCCATCTCTGATCAGAATCATTACAGTACACATTGCTTTCTCTTGAAAGGTGCCTTCTGGTTTAAATGGGATATGAGAAACAAGAATATCAAAGTGAAAGGGATCTTTCTCCTAACCCGCCCTACCCCCCAATTGTGTCCCTGCTCCAGATGTGGAGGAAATTTGCATCTTCTACAACAAACAGTAAAAAGACGCTTAAGAACTTCAAGATTTCCTTCATGGTCATGGACTGAAGACCGCATGCAGTGCCAGGTGACGAGAAATACCCTGCCTCCTCTATGCATCCACAAGCACAATTTGTGGCTGTCGACTGGGATTGGAAGCCCAGGTAGCCACTCAAAGAGCCAGGACATTCTTCCATGTCCCTGATACCATGATTGCAGCTATCATGTAGCTGTTTTACTGTGCAAAACAAGATTCATCTAAACAGCTGTTGGGTCGGATCCCATGGAGGATTTGTACATAAGGAAAGGAGGGGGTGCAATATTTGCCTACTCCCCTTTCTGTTGCAGAACTCCTCCCCCCTCCAGGCTATTCCAGGGGCATCTGCTGTCCCCTAGGAGCAGTGCTGGAGGAGGGAATTTTGGCATGCAACAAGAGGCACGGAAGTTCTGCTCCAGAGACAGAAATCCCTTCCACTTGCAGAAATCCTCTCTGGCACTCTAAACTACCATGCGCAGGGTGTTACGGTTCCGCAGGGCCTGCAAGACGGAGCTCTTCCACCAGGCATTCAACTAAGGAGCTGCACCTAATGAATTTAAGACCCTATGCCCTAGTACTGACAGCCTGTGTGCCACCGATATGAACTGACATCAAACGTTGATTGCACCTCATTGTAATGCTTTGCTACTATTGCTGCATCAGTATTACGCAAATAGCATACTAGCATTTTATGTTGTGTTTATATTTATAGAATTATAGAATCATAGAGTTGGAAGGGGCCATACAGACCATCTAGTCCAACTCCCTGCCCAATGAAGGACCAGCCTAAAGCATCTCTGACAAATATTCATCCAGCCTCTTCTTGAAAGCTGCCAGTGAATTTCTATTTGTATTTGCTATGTTTTATCTGTTTTAAAACTTTTATGTAAGCCACCCTGAACCTGCTTTGACGGGGAGGGCGGGGTATAAATTAAATAAATAAATAAATAAATAAATACCATCTCTATCATAGCAACAATCATTTCAACGGACTAATTTTATCTATAGAGGACTGGTTTTCTTCTTATTCAGCAACATCTCAATTTGATAATGTTAGAGAAGCCTAGCCCAAAAAGACTGAGAGAGAATGATAAGCGTTTCCCAGTCATACCCCTCCTACACAAAGTACTTAGCACTAATAAGAATAATGACATCTGCCTTTTGCCCGTGTCTGTGTTAAGTGCTGTCAAGTCACTTCCAACTCATAGCAACACTATGAATTAATGACCTCCAAATACTATCGCTAACAGCCCTGCAAACAAAGGCCATGGCTTCCTTGCTTGAGTAAATCCGTCTTGTGGTGGGTCTTCCTCTTTTCCTAGCGTTACTGTCTTTTCCAGTGACTCTTGTCTTATAATGTGACTGAAGTACAGTAGCCACAGTTTAGTCATTTTAGCTTTTAGAGAGATTTCAGGCTTGACTTGAATCGAGAGAACACAGTATCCATAAAACTCTTCTCCAACACCACATTGCAAATGAATCAACTATGCAGATTGCTATATATCTTTCTTTCAAGCATCATCATGCCCATAATGGAAAGGTAAGCAAATTATTCCAACTATTGACAAAGAACAAGAATAGAGGAATGGCTTCTGGCTAAATGCTGTTCACATCAAATTACATTTTTAAAAAAATAAATATCAAATTCCTACACAGAAGTCACAGGTAGGCGATCATACCTTCATACATTAAGTATTGGGAAGTTAACGGCTTCCTACTGTATGCTCATTCAGCAATTATATATGTGTAGGACTGTCTCTTTTTACAAGTTACAGGCACTTTTTGGTGTGAAATTAGTGATGTATGAAGCCAAAAGTGACCGAAACTCAGCCCATGGTTACAGGGGTATATTCAACATGGGCTACAGACCACACTGACTACCTATGAATTCACTGAAAGCAGCACTGAAAAATTGTTTCCTGCTTACCTGGTCAGGAATTTATAATGGTCATTAATGGCTTCCTGCTTCATGCAAAACGCATGGTGTCCTTCCAAGGCAAGCGGTCGTATATGTGTAGTCACCTCTCTCCCACACGTGCAACTGGACTGATAGTCACAAGAAAAACTCAAACGTCTCACCCTCCGAGTCACGGTTGGGTCTCGTAAGGCCTTTCCCATCAAATGCCCAAGTAGGGTGTTGGTCCGCAAGAATCGCAGTCGGATGGTGGTCGCTTTGGTAAAATTTCTCAGGAGAGGGGAATAGGAGAAATTCATGGCTCCTGGACGTCCATTCACCAGAGAGACCACAATCTGCAAAAGGGGAGAGAGAAGGGGAGGGTATCATCAGAGGGTGACTGAATTATGTTTTTATCAGTCAAAGACTAATTTTCCATTGCAATGGATCAATTCAGTTCTTACCTAGGGAACACCCAGCTTCTAGACCAGAGGGTCCCAACAAGGTGTCCGCAGTGGTCATGTGCCCACTGAGACCAAGTGTTTTCAGAAAGTGGGTGGGGCCAGGTGGGGTTTTTGCCCAGCAAGATTTCTGATTGGCCACTGGAAATTTGATTGGCTATTCAGATTTCTGAAAACTTTGCTTGGGCCACCACAGCACAAGGCTCTTCACAGTGTGATTGAAGGTACACTGCAGCAGCCATTTCACAGCTAACTCCACCTACTCCAACAGCCATTTTGTGTCGGCCATTTTGTGCTTGCGCCCACCGCACTGTGTCTGAATTCCAAACGTGCCTGCAGGCTCAAAAGGGTTGGGGACCCCCGTTCTAGACTCTATTTTTATTTATTTAAAATATTTGCATGTAACCTTCCCACCCAATTTAGGATCCTCAAGAGAGAGTAAATAACCAAAACATTAAAACAGCATTTAAAATACAGATAATTATATAAAAGATATTTAAAACAATTAAATAAAACATATAAAAACATAAGCATACAGAACAGAGAGCAATTAAAGTTAGTGAGGGAATGGCAAACAAAACAAAAAAGTCTTCACCTGTTAGTGGAAAACAATAGAAAATGACAGATAAATGCTCCCTTGGGAGGGAGTTCCAGAGTTTGGGTGCCACCACTAGGAAGGCCCTTTTCCAGGTTGCCACCCGTCTAGCCTCAGATGGCTAGAGCAGGTAATCTTATTCTTCTGTACAAGAAAACTAGGAATTAGGGCACTTCTCATTTTACAAAAGCAGATTTCAGCATGATGGCGCCTCAGTTCACACAACGAACTTCCTCCTCCCCTCTCCCCTCCGGATGTTCTAATACCCCATCGCACTTTCTTGTTTATGCAAACCATAAAATATACCATTCCATCTAAACTAGGCAAGCTACAGTTAGCACAAAACAGTTCTCCATGCAAGCTAGAACTGGAAAACCACTTCCAAATATGGTTTCCAATTCTGGTTTGCACAAACAAGGACGCGAGGGAGAGAATCACAGGCTACAAGGAGAGAAAGCCTCTGGCATAAAGAGCTAAACCATGGTTTCCCATTAGGTGTGAACTAAACCAGTAACTCACTCAAGACTACATGCTGAATTCAGGGCCTGGCTGAAACTGTGTCCCTGGTCTAAGTCTCTTCACCAGATCTCTCTAATTCTCGGCGGGGTCGGAGATAACAAGCTACCAAACAATCTCCACAAGAGGGGTCCCCAACCAATGCTCCGTCCATGCTGTGGAGTCTTGTGAGCAAAAATGCTACTTTGTGAGCTACTGGCATTAAAGTTGTGCGTGAGCGATTTGGCTATTGCATAAATTAGTTTGCTCTGGAGCCATCCTTCCTGAGCTAAGACAAAAATGTGTGAGCTATAGGCTAAAAAACTATGAGATAGCTCACACTAAGTCAACTTAGAGGGAACACTGTCTCCCAACCTTTCTAAGCCTATGGGCACCTTTGAAATTCTGGCACAAAATGGGTGCAACAGTATGTGGAGCCAGTCACAAAAATGACTGCCACAGGCCTCCTCACGGGATCAACTGCATTGTGGGCTCTTTTGGGCAGTCTCGTTTAAACCCCCCTCCCCAAAGGTTTTGCGGGCTGTCTTCTGCAGTCCCTTTAAACACCCCCTGGTTAAAGAGACTGCGGAAGAAAATCACAAAACAGCTGAGCGGCAGGCACAATCTGCTCCAGCCCCACACCTGTTTTTCAGGGTTTGCCGGTAATTCCAGAATATATCCAGGATTTTTTCAGGAATTTTTTTCAGTTCTCCCGATAAGGTTTTTTTCAGGTACACTTTTAGCTCGGATAGATGCAAATACATGCCCCTAATACTAATCTTGATGGACTGATGGTCTAATTTGGTACGCTGCAGCTTCCTTTGTTCATGTGTTCAATAGTGTATAAAGTTCCGCTCATTACAACTGCATAGGCCAAAATCCAGTGCTTTGGGGGCAGGGTGGTACTCATACATAAGGTTGAACTAACTCCCACCAATTCCCCCTCGGGAAAGCCACCCCCCACGGTACCGGTGAGTTCCGCTACCAAAAAATCTCTGGCAAAATCCCACACATTCATGAGTTTGTTGTGAGCAAGTGCCACTATTTTAGAGAGTCAGGTTCCAAACTTAGCAGCTACACTGATTTAATTAAGGCCCTTTAGTGGAAATCCTTGCAGAAAAGAAGCTATGCAGATGTATCACAGAACAGTCGTATAGAGAGGACTTGCTGGGTTTTGACGTAAAAACACAGAGTCATGAGTACTTCCCATTCTGCAACTTTCCTTGGCCCATCTCCATAAAGGCCCCTTCACCCATACGCCATTTGAACAGAACATAATGCTTTCTGAACAAGCATGTCTGTGGTTGAATGAACTCTTTACAAGCCATCCCAATCCTTCACTAATTCCAGCAGAGTTTGTAGGCTGAAACACAGTATCTGCACAGCTGGAACAGTTCCGCCAGCGTGACTCAAGATTACTGCAGAATTTAGCAACCGGATGTACCACAGTTTCCCAGAACAGCATCCCATGGCCTATTATCAGCTGTGAATAGCTTTAAAAAAAAGTTTTTAAAAGTAAAGCTCAGTGGGTTGGAAAGGGTATGACCTGGGAGGAGCTGTGGCTCAGTGGCAGAGTATCCCTTTGCATGCAGAAGGTCCAAGGTTCAATCCCCGGCATCTCCAGTTAAAAGGACCAGGCAGTGGATGATGTGAAAGACCTCAGTCTGAGATGCTTCACAGCCACTGCCAGCCTGAACGGGCAGGAGTGACCTTGACAGACCAATGTTCTTATTCAGTCTGGTGGGGATGGTGGCGGAAAGTGCCGTCAAGTCACAGCTGACTTATGGTGACCCCCCCCCCAATGCAGTTTTCAAGGCAAGAGATGTTCAGAGGTGGTTTGCCATTGCCTGCCTCTACGTCACGACCCCGGTATTCCTTGGCGGTCTCCCATCCAAATACTTGCCACTCTGCTTAGCTTCTGAGATCTAACAAGATCAGGCTAGCCAGCTCAGGTCATGTATATAGCATGGTTAGTCTGTATTCATGGATTCACAAGGGGAAAAAATATCAGTGTAGCCTAGATCCTCTGTTTCCACACTTTTTGCAATGTAAGAATGGACTCAAATATATGGCACAGAAACTAAAATCTGGAGAACTTCAGCTTTCATTTTAGAGCAAGTTTTTAGCTATTACAGTTGCAGGATAAGGCTGGGAAGCTCTGGAGGAAGGACCTGAAACTGAATAATTGGTTTCAGAGAACTGGACAGAATTTCTAGGAGTCTCCTTTTTTATTTCAGTCTCCTGTACAGCTCAATACTGGCTGCCTAGCCTCAGTCTCCAAACCCTTCCCCTCCTCACATTCCCCCCCAAAATACCAACCTAACTTTGTCGCCTTAATCTTCACAACAACCTTAATCAGGTAAGAATTTTTTTTTTTATTCCCATTATTATTCTCACTGTATAGCCAGGGAGCTGGATCAGAGAAGGCTTCCCCTGTAAGTCTGTGATTTGGTGGAATTTTAATTAGGCTGTATTTTAATTCAAGCCCAAATTAAATTAAATTCCTATATGGTTTAAGACCAACATACCTGAATGACCACCCACTCCCTTATGAACCCACCTGACCACTGCAGTCATCTTTCTACATCCTGCTTCAGGTGGCCCCGACCTTCTGAGATTAGGCCCTCTCAGTCATGGGACCAAAATTGTGGACCCGTCCTTCAAGGCCCCCTTCTGTTGCTGCCTTCTGCCAGCAGGTGAAGACTTTTTTTGTTTTCTTTGGCATTCTCTCAGTGATCCCTCCCTGCTTCCATTGCAGTTTTTGTGTGTATTTTAGCTCTGCTTTTAATTTTTTTTTAAAAAAAAATGATGTTGGGGGGAGGGTTTAATTGCTTGAATGGTTTCCAGGGGTCATTTTGTAGAAAAAGAGGTGCAGGAGCTCATTAGCATAACTCATTAGCATAACTTATTTGCATATACCACACCCCCTGACATCACCGGAAGTGTGTCAGAAGGCAACACCCACCACTCAGACTCCACTGGACTGTTTTGGATTGCTAGCTGGGGGGGGGGAGGTATGTGCAGATCTGTCCTCGCAGAGGAGGGAGAGCTTGTACCTGCATAAAACTTGGTCTTAAAGGTGCCACTGGAGTGTTTTGGACCGGGGGATGGGGGGTGCTCTGCAACTTACCTTGCTGCTTCTTGCTCTGACTGAGGGCTGATGGGAGCAGGGGGTGGGGCTTGTTGCATGTGCCCGCCCCCTGGGCTCTTTACTGCCGGAGCTCTGCTCCTGCAGGAAATGACCCCTGATGGTGTCTAAGACATAGCTTTCTTCTATATGTTTTTAATTTGTTAGCCGCCTTCATGGCCCTTATGAGAGCACAAAGACAGAGTATAAATTTGGTGAATGAATGAATGAATGAGGTAAAGCAATCAATAAATAAAATAAATGTTTCATATTGCATTTTCAAAACCAGAAATGAGCAAAATCTACGAGCATCTAAACCTGTCTTCAGTACCTCTTGTTAAATACATTTCAATGCTCCCTTATGCTGTGTTGAGATAGGTAACTTTTATTACAGAATCGGAGCTTCCTCAGCATGCAAATCCCAAAGCACTCACCTCTCCATTCTCCAAGGGCACAATGCGGGAGTATTCAGTGGTGCAGATGACATCATCATCTTTGGTGATTCGCTCTACTGTCTTCAGGCCAAACTTCTCTATGCAATCTCTCTTGGAAGCTATTGAACAGAGTTGAGAGACACAAAGATCCAGGTTTTAGAAATGTGAGTTTCATCCTCAGATTCCCACTAAAGGTCCGAAGTGAGATGCAGGCCCACAAACTCTATGGCAGGAGATAGAATGTTTGTGACTTGTGGGGATAGGGGCCCCTGCCTAATGCAAGAAGCACTTTTTGAGCATCCAACAGTATCCAACCCAATATTTTGCAGTTAAATATGCCCTTTATCAGAGCAGATGGGCCATTTACTTTACTGAAGGAAATCCCGATGGATTTCTCTAAGCTCTAAGCTCCACCCACTCCCAGAGTGGGGCCTGCAAGGAAAAAATATGGGTGCTCTAAGCTCCACCCACTTCCACAGTGGGGCCTGCAAGGATAAGTATAGATGTTCTAAGTTCCATCCACCCCCACAGCGAGACCAGCAAGGAAAAGTATGGGTGCTGCTAAAAAAGGGCAAAGCCAGGACCCACAGTGACTATGCCCCTCCTCACCTAGGCCAGTGAAGAGGAGCATGGACACAGTGGTGCCTGGCTTTGCTTTATGCCAGCAGCACCCAAACACCTCCTCATCAGCTTCCACACCCAGGCCAGTGAAGAAGAGCACAAGCACAGGGGCATCAGACTGGTGTAAGTATGGGGCAGGAGGCAAACAGGAGGATGAGCACAGCAGCACATTGCTTCAGCCTGAGAAGAGGAGCATGGGAGGAGGAGGAGGGAGAGGAGGAGGAGGAGGAGTTGGCTTTTATACTCCGCCTTTAACTACCCAAAGGAGTCTCAGAGCAATTTACAATCGCCTTCCCTTCCTCTCCCCACAGCAGACACCCCGTGAGTTAGGTGGGGCTGAGAGAGCTCTGAAAGTACTGGGACTAGCCCAAGGTCACCCAGCAGGCTTCATGTGGAGGGGAATCAAACCTGGTTTTCCAGATTAGAGTCCGCCGCTCTTAACAACTACACCAAACTGGCAACAGTGTCCGGCTTTGCCCTGTGCTCGCCCAGGCACGGTGCAGGTGGCAAGGAAGAGCCTGGCTTCACCTTCTGCTGGCTGGAGGATGCTGTGTCTGGAGAGGAGAAATGGCTTGTGCAATGTGCAGCTGGCAAGGAGGAACGCCATGGCGCTTCCTTTCTCTCCAGCTCGCTCTGCAGCTCTGCATCCAGCAAGGGGGCGTGGCTGTGGGAGGGGGTGTCAGTGGCCATAGGAGGGTACATGACCCCCTCTCTTGTGCCATGTTATCCTCTCAATTCACCCATGCCCTTTGTATGACAACAAAAGTTTATGAGACAGCAGGCACTTGAAACAGTGAAAATCTTAATGGTGTTAAAGCAGATTAACATAGACGTGTTGAAACTTTTTCTTTTCTTTTTTTTAAACCCTGCTGGTTTTCAAGAATGGAAGCCACACACTGATCTACGGCTGGAAATCCTATCCCAGATACTGGTCCCAAGCCTATTCCCCACAGAACTGAAAGCAAAACTTTTTCTTAATCACTAGCTAAGACAGGGGTCCTCAAACTTTTTAAACAGGGGGCCAGTTCACTGTCCCTGAGACCATTGGAGGGCTGGGGGTTGGGGGCAGGGGTGGCCCTGAGTGCGGTGCACATTCCACACATGCGCACTGTGGGCCCAAGACGAGTCGGCTGCTAAGCAGGACAGGCGGCGGTGGCAAAAACACCCGGCGGGCTGGATAAATGTTTTCGATGGGCCGCATGTGGCCCACGGGCCGTAGTTTGAGGACCCCTGAGCTAAGACAAGGAAAGGCAAACATTGGTGTGCGTTGGTGTCTGGAGGAGTTCTGCTGACCCCATTTGACACCCCCCAAACGTTGGGTCTAACCCATTCCCATATACCAGAGACCTTTCCTCTGCTGTGCTGCCGCACTTCAAGGACAGAGATGGGTGCACGGGAAACAAAATGGAAGTCACAGAACTTCCTCGAAGGTTACTGCTGACAAGAAGCAACCTAACTTGTTTGATGGGCTCCACAAACATGTAAGAAAGCCCAACACAGAAAACTCAGCCACAGAAGATATATTTGTTACCCTGTATAGTGTTCCTACTTGGAAAATCGAGAAGTCGATAGGGAGCGGCCATTCATTTAAATAAATAAATAAACAAGCAAGCAAGCCCCAAGTTGGTGGATGAGAGATGCTGAGCTAAACTTGACATTTCCTCAAAATCGCATTCATTTTCACTTGATGTATACCTCACCCACAGATGCCTGAGAGCTGTAGGCCAAAGTTCACTGCCTCCTGGATGTTTGGCATTCCAGCATTAGCAAGGAGATGAAGGCGGGGGGCACAGGGGTATACTGTGGCCCCAGACAGGGTGGTCATTTCCTCAGAAATCTCAAACCTGCCTGGAATTGTTCACATTCCTATATACTCTGCCTTCCCCTGACAAGACAGACCAGTGTTTTGCAGCACCCAGTACAACAGAGATAAAAAGGTGACTCCTGAGTCAACAATAATCTAAACCAGGGGTTCTCAACCTTTTTGAGCATACCAGCAACTTTGGGATTCTGACACAGGTGGGTGGGTGCAGCTACAACTGCCGCAGGAGGCGGAGCCAACCACAAAAGGTCAGGGAGCGAGGTTACGCATAATTCTAATAGTAGCTCCTCAACATTTCAGGCAGAAGCTCTGTTTAACAAGATACCTTTGAAAACAAACATATTGTTTTGAAATATTTTCTCGGCATGCACACAGCTTAGTCACACAGTGAAGACTCTTGTGCTGTGGTGGCAGCCACTGTTCCCTCTAAGCTGAGTGAGTGTGAGCTAGCTCACCATTTTTTAGCCTCCGGCTCACACATTTTTACCTTAGCTCAGGAAGGATGGCTCCAGAGCAAACTGATTTATGCAGTAGCCAAATCACTCGCTCATAGCTTTGATGCCAGTAGCTCAGCAAGCAGAATTTTTGCTCACCAGACTCCACAGCTTAGAGGGAACATTGGTGGCAGCTACTACCAAAGCAATATTTTTAAAGGTCTGTGTAGCCAATTGGATCTCCAATGGGCAATCAGAAGCCCTGCTGGGCAAAAGCCCTATCTACTCCTGTTAGGGTTGCCAGGTGTCCGTCCCCCCCCCCCCGGTCACCGACGAGGCAGGGTTGTCCAATCCAGGTTGAGAAACTCCTGGAGATTTGGGGATGAAGTCTGGGGAAGACAGACACCTTAGCGGGGTACAATACCATAGAGCCCACCCTCCAAAACATCCAATTTTCTCCAGGGGAACTGATCCCTATAGTCTGGAGATGAGCTGTAATTCCAGGGGATCCTCTGGTCCTATCTGGATGCTGTAGCAGCCAGGGCTGAAGTGCTAGGAAAGTCAAGTAACGAATAAATTATACACTGCAAGAAACTTTTGTAAATTAATGTGTTCTGTTTATAACTATCATTCTATAAAGTGCATTGTGTATTATTATCTATATATCTAATACCGAAGTCCCCCCGTCTGTGCGGATGCTTATATCCACACATCGGGGGGACCTGGAGGGGAGGGAGAGGTTTGTGTGCACGTGGGGAGGTCCCCACGTGTGCACAAAAATCCGAAATGTTGAAAAAAAATCGGGGGATGTTTAAATCCCCTCGAAACTCACAGAGCGTCCCCTGCGCATGTGCAGGGGACGCTCTGCGAACGCCGACGCCGCTTGGGAGGGAAGCGGCAAATGGCGAGCAGGGAGCGAGAAGCCAGAGTGGCTCGCCGCTCGGCCCTCAGTTCGGAGCCGGGGGGAAGAGAAAAAGCAGCCGCCACCACCGCCACTTGGGTGCTGGGGGGGGGGGAGGAAACAGTGAGGGGCGA